AGTCCTGCGGGTTATGGACTTCCCTTCTGGATGGTGCAGCTGTAGAACATTCCGTCATTACAGAACTTTCTGTGGTTACATTGTCTCCTTATTGTAGCTCAGTCTGCACAGAAACCTCAAGCAGCTTAACTCAAAAGCAGACACATTCTCCATTAGTTGCATTTTTACTGAATCATTCCCTTTTCCTTGTCATTTATTTTGTAGTTGTAACATTGCCCGACTGTCCTTCGTTGTTGTTTTTTCTTTTGTTTTGTTTTTGTTTTTTAGAATGTAGGGATTTTTCCAAAGTCTGAGAGCTCCCTGATTTTCCCCGTTACTGCTGGGTTTCAGTAATCCCATTATGATGTGTCTGGCGGGGCTTTGCTCTATGTTTCTTCCAATTGAGATTCAGAGAGATTCTGGGATCTGTGAGGTCATCATTTTCATCCAATTTAGAAGATTTTTGGCCATTATTTTTTTAAACATGTTTGCCCCTTCACACGAGATGTTAAAGGACTAGACATTTGTCACACAGGTTCCTGATGCTCTGCATTATGTTTTCCCAGTGTTTTATCACTATGACATGTTTTAGATACTTATTCTCAATTTCTGTAACTTCAAATTCACAGATCAGTTCTTCTGAAGAATCTTATCACTTACAATATTCATCAAGTGTATTTTTAAATGCTTCATAATATATTTTTATCCTTACATGTTCCATCTGATTCATTTTATATATATTTTTTTCTCTCCTGGTTTTGGGTACATTTTTCGATTCTTGGCATCTCCAGGAGTTTTTGATTAGATGCTAAAGATTTTATATTTTATGTTGTTGAGTGTTTGGGTTTTTTTTTTTTTTTAAGAAGTATTATAGTTTGCTCTGGGAGACATTCGGGTGTTTTTGGTTTAGTTTGAAATTTCATCTTAAAATTTATTTTTAAGGTGTGTTGGGGACGTTGCAGAGTACCTTTCACTGTAGGGACCATTTATCTCCATGTCTAAGCCCTGGCCCTTGAGGGTCTAACTTTGTGCATTAGGAGCCGACTTGGACTTGCCACAGTGAGTGGCAGGAACTTGAGTGACCCTCGGCCTCTGTGGGTCGCGAACCCACCAGCTCACAGCTCCCCAACACTGCAGCCAACCTCAGCCTCCTGACGTGCAGCCCTGCACATGCATCCCAGGAGTCAGCACAGATTCGCGAGACCTCGATGACTTGGTAGCTCTCTCTTCTCCCTGTGCCCACCGGTCCCTGGGTACGGTGGCGTGTGTAATGAGACCTCAGGGTACAGCTGTGCCCTCATATTAATCGGACACAGGGTCGCCATCAAAGACAGACCACTGGGTTCTGTAACCATGGATGGACCTAATCTAACAATTCTTGTGTTTGTATCCCTGTCTGGGTGTCTGGGAAATAAAACATCGGCAATGCAAATAGTTTATTCTTAAAAATAACTCTACAGTTTTTCCAAAAATATCATATAAGAGCAAGAGTAAAATATTATTTCTGGGGATTATATTCCTGACGTTGGCTGAGGGACGAGAAAGGTTACCACCCATCAGCTCCAGAGCCCACAATTGGTCTTTCAGTTTGATGTGCCCCTGGTGTGATTCAGCTACTCTGGATTACATGAAGCGGCTGAATGTTTAAAATGCACCTATCCACCTTGGTGTTCCTTGCTTCCCTTGATTCTCAGAGTGTTTGTCTTGAGGTAAGCGAGAGCTTAAATTGCAGGCGCTTTTACAAAGTATCAGCTTGTCATCCCTGCAGCCCGCACCTGGAGACCCCGAGTAACTCAGGAAGGAGCCGCTGGAATGTAGCAAAGCTGGAGCGGAGCCAGGGGCAGGTTATCCTGTTCCTGACCGTGTGCTCTCCGCTTTCAGTGACTCACTGCATGTTTCTGACATTCACCCATTGTAAGGAGATCTATGTAACCTTGAAGGTGCAACATCTAGGAAAATTCTAATCCTCCAAGAAGTAAGAGCAAGCTGTCTGACTTAAACCCTTTTATGTGACTTGGTTGCTCCTGATCTCAGAGTTGCTGGTTCAAGAGCACAGGAAGTTTGTTAGCAGATCCATTCACATGTCTCTAAGACTTCCACATTTAATGCTCAAATTAGAAATGTCATTGAAGCCTGGTCACTGCGGTTCAGATAGTTGAATGTCGTGCCTTACACTAAGAGATCATTGGTTCGACTCTCAGTCAGGGCACAAACCTGGGTTGAGGGCTCCATCCCCAGTAGGGGGCATGCAGGAGGCAGGGTGTGTGTGCAGGAGGCAGTGTGGGGGGCGTGCAGCAGGCAGTGTGGGGAGTGTGCGGGAGGCAGTGTGGGGGGTGTGGGAGGCAGTGTGGGGTGTGTGCAGGCAACAGTGTGGGGGGCGTGTAGCAGGCAGTGTGGGGATGTGCGGGAGGCAGTGTGGGGGTTGCAGGAGGCAGGGTGTGTGTGCAGGTGGCAGTGTGGGGGTGTGTGCAGGTGGCAGTGTGGGGGTGTGTGCAGGTGGCAGTGTGGGGGTGTGCGGGAGGCAGTGTGGGGGTTGCAGGAGGCAGGGTGTGTGTGCAGGTGGCAGTGTGGGGGTGTGTGCAGGAGGCAGTGTGGGGGTGTGCGGGAGGCAGCGTGGGGGTGTGTGGGAGGCAGCGTGGGGAGTGTGCGGGAGGCAGCGTGGGGGTGTGTGCAGGAGGCAGCGTGGGGGTGTGTGCAGGAGGCAGTGTGGGGGTGTGTGCAGGAGGCAGTGTGGGGGTGTGCGGGAGGCAGTGTGGGGAGTGTGCGGGAGGCAGTGTGGGGGTGTGCGGGAGGCAGTGTGGGGGTGTGTGCGGGAGGCAGCGTGGGGGTGTGTGGGAGGCAGCGTGGGGAGTGTGCGGGAGGCAGCGTGGGGGTGTGCGGGAGGCAGTGTGGGGGTGTGTGCAGGAGTCAGCGTGGGGGTGTGCGGGAGTCAGCGTGGGGGTGTGCGGGAGTCAGCGGGTGTGTGCGGGAGGCAGCGTGGGGGTGTGCGGGAGGCAGCGTGGGGGTGTGTGCGGGAGGCAGCGTGGGGGTGTGCGCGGGAGGCAGCGTGGGGGTGTGCGGGAGGCAGCGTGGGGTTGTGCGCGGGAGGCAGCGTGGGGTTGTGCGGGAGGCAGCGTGGGGAGTGTGCGGGAGGCAGCGTGGGGGTGTGCGGGAGGCCGCGTGGGGGTGTGCGCGCGAGGCCGCGTGGGGGTGTGCGCGGGAGGCCGCGTGGGGGTGTGCGGGAGGCCGCGTGGGGGTGTGCGGGAGGCTGCGTGGGGTTGTGCGGGAGGCCGCGTGGGGTTGTGCGCGGGAGGCCGCGTGGGGTTGTGCGGGAGGCCGCGTGGGGTTGCGTGCGGGAGGCCGCGTGGGGTTGCGCGGGAGGCAGCTTGGGGGTGTGCGGGAGGCAGCGTGGGGGGTGTGCGGGAGGCGGGGGGTGTGTTTGCGGGAGGCAGGGGGTGTGTTTGCGGGAGGCAGCGTGTGTGTGTGTGTGGGAGGCAGCGTGGGGAGTGTGCGGGAGGCAGTGTGGGGGTGTGTGCGGGAGGCAGTGTGGGGAGTGTGCGGGAGGCAGTGTGGGGGGGTGTGCGGGAGGCAGCGTGGGGGGGTGCGGGAGGCAGGGGGTGTGTGTGCGGGAGGCAGCGGGTGTGTGTGGGAAGCAGCGTGGGGATGTGCGGGAGGCAGCGTGGGGTGTGCGGGAGGCAGCGTGGGGTGTGCGGGAGGCACCGTGGGGTGTGCGGGAGGCAGCGTGGGGGTGTGCGGGAGGCAGCGTGGGGGTGTGCGGGAGGCAGGAAGGGCAATGATAAATGTTTGTATCTCCCCCTCTCTCTTTCTCTAAAAATGTCAATGAAGAAAATTTTTAAAGCAAAATGTGTTATTTGGAATTACTTTTTAAAGAAGCACTTCAATTATTTTTATAACTATGAGACCAAAGCAGATTCTTCATATACACATTTATTTGGCACTGATAAAATGTTTCCGTTAGCTAATGCTCAACATGGTTATCAATGTCCTTGTGGAATGTAGTTCCCTGTGTGGGTGTCTTTGGTGACGGGCGCTTTATAAGAGAATATCAAGCAGCTGAAAACTGGTGCTTAGTAAACACTGTTGAATGAATGAATGGAAGGATGAGAGAATGAATGAATGCATTTTTAAAGCCTTGAAAACTAAACCTGTAAGTGCTAGAGTACTTAGAAATAAAATTTTTATTGAGCTTAATTAAGCATATTAAACACTATGCCAAACTCACAGAACTGTTTTTGGAAAGACTAGCCATTTTAGGCAATGTAAGAGCTGTTAGTTAAATGAATTAAAAACGAGGTTGAGAGAAGAAATTTCAGCACAGACACCCAGTCCACTAATTTGCTAATCATTGAATGAAAACCAGCTATATAGGCGACTTCTTTGTGTTTTTTGAGGGAGGGCTGTCATGTGATATCTGTTCAGTTAAGGAGAATGTACTGAAAGTCTTCTGGTTCATTTTATTATTTTTTTTATGTTTTCTTAATGTTGAGTTTTCTAACTGAATTTTTTATTTTAAACACCTCTTTTCCTTTTCCACAGCATGTCATGGAGTGGATTGTCAGTTTCCAGTAGGAGGGTTCTAGTAGGAAAGAAACAAAAATGTGGAGATAAAAATCCACCTTCTCAACAATAAATGGAGGTCACATTCCCTTATTCCATCATAGCTGTGTGGGATTTTCTTTTCTGTTGATAAAATAAGGTGGCTTAGTCCTCAGACTTGCTTCTAAAGAACTGATAGACTTAAAAATAAAAACTAGGCAAGGTTGAGCCATGATGCAGGGCTCCACTGTGGGTGGAGAAGGCAGGAATCCATTCCTCGCGCTACGCGAAGTCATTACCAGTGCGGTTTCACCTGTTACCCTAATAACCTTACTCTCCAAACACGCAGCCACGCCCAGGGACCTGAGGTGACCTGTGCCGTCTGAAAACGGCGAAAAGCCAGTGCGCGATGCCTGTCCCGGCCGGCGGAGCATTTACCTTTCGTTGTTGTTTCCTCTGTTTCAGGATTAAAACACAGTGACCCAACCATGACGGGCAAAACCCAGACCAGCAACGTCACCAATAAGAATGACCCCAAGTCCATCAACTCCCGCGTTTTCATCGGCAATCTCAACACAGCCATTGTCAAGAAGGTTGACATCGAAGCCATTTTCTCCAAGTACGGGAAAATAGTGGGCTGCTCCGTGCACAAGGGGTACGCGTTTGTGCAGTACCTGAGCGAGCGGCACGCGCGAGCCGCGGTGGCCGGGGAGAACGCCAGGGTCCTCGCGGGCCAGCCCCTGGGTGAGTGATGCGACCGCGGTCAGGCTCTGCGCGACCGACGGGCCGGGGCTCCCTGCGGAGCCAGCGCGGTGGCCGTACTGTTCCGGGGTGCGGGTCTCACTGTCCAGTCTCCACACTGGGGCCTGCTGCACGGCCCTGTCCCCTGCGCCCGCCCTGCCAGAGGCAGCGCGTGAAAAGCGGGCGTGAGATTTCGTGGGATTTCGTGGGATTTGGTTCGAAGCGGTGTCTGTCTTCCACTCTGCTGTGCAGAGAATTAAATTGCTCCGTGTACTTGTTGACGCAGGAATGTCCGAAGCTGGAGGATGTCGGTAAAAGTGTATTGGCGCCAGCTGATGGCGCTGCTGAGAAGCAGGATCTGAGCGCTCTGGAGAAGGACAGTCTTTCAGGATGTTTATGCGTTTAGAACAACGGGGGTGCCCTGGCTGGTTTGTCTCAGTGGTTAGAGCATCGGCCAGTGGTCCCCAGAGACCCGGGTTCGGTTCCCGCTAAGGGCACGTACCTTGGTTGCAGTTTGTCCCCAGCCCTGGTTGGTCGTGCAGGTGGCAGCCACTGATGTGTCCCTTTCACATTGATGTTTCCCTCTCTCTCTCTCTCCCCCTCCCACTCTATCTGAACAAAAATGGAAAAAAAGTCCTCGGTGAGGATAGAAAAAATAATAATAAAAGAACAACGGCGGGGGGGGGGTGACTCAAGGAAGATTACCAGGAGGTGGCAGGAGACAGGGTTCGGGGATGCTGACAAGACCATGCACTTCCTGGAGTGTGGTCACACTTCTGAGGGGTCAGAAATTGGCTTACTGCTGGCCTGCCAAAGGTGTGTGCAGATGGTGTACACGCATGAGGGACAGGGCTTGTTCAGAACCCTTCACCAAGGAACGCAGGGGCCGGGTGTGCCAGGCTCCGCGACCTGTCCAGGGGGAAGCTGCGATCAGACACTGTGAGGTCATTTCGGTCACTGGACTTGTTAGACTTCTTGTAGAAAGATGTTCCATCCACCTGCTTATACTACTGGTTCTTAGGGTGCTAATGTGTTTTTCTCCTTTTCTGTTTTTACTTTTGGGGGAGAAGGGATAGAAAAAGAGCAAAAGGAGGTAAATTTTCAGAACTGGAAAAAGAATATAACCCACTCATTATTATCAAGTCAGGAATCATGCCTCTTCCCTCATGTGCAGGACACAGAACTATACCCAGTGTCCAAGGAATAACACAGTTTCTTTCAAAGAAAGGAGAAGAATCTAGTCTAAGGTAAAATGAAAACATTTAGAAGAAAATATTTTGTAATTAATATATAGATAAAAAGTAAAAATTAATCTATTACTTTACATAAGGAAAAAAGTATAATGTGTATACCAGTGGTTCCCTCATTTATGACTAGGTCCATATGTGCATCCTCCTCTGGATCTCTGCAGGTGTCCCAGCTTCACACGCCCGGAACAGACTCTCCGTTCCCGAAGCCCCGCCCTGCTTCACCCCTGCTCTCCCCGTCACGGTAACGGAAGCTTTCGTTGATCAGGTTTTCAAACAAAAACCCAGTGCTCAACCCTGATTCCCCTCTTCCCCCAACCCTCCAGGTATAATCCATCACCCCCCTTCTGCCATCAGTGTGCCCCAAACCCAATCACCTTTGAAATGTCTACCAATGTCCATGTCACCTGGTCCACCTGTATCTCAGGTGCACTATGAAATGGCCCTCTGAGCGGTGTGTGTCCCCACTGTCATGGAGTCCCTTGAGAACACAGCTGAGATTGTGCCGCACACTGGCTCCTGAACCCTGACACCTTGCCCTCACCCCGGATGGGAGTGTCTTCTGTCCCGACCTCTGGAGCCCAGCCCTGCTACATAACCACGCCCTCCGCCCCACTCCTCTCGACCCCTGGGACCAGGGTGACATTCCCAGGCTGTTCCCGCCTCACAGGCTTTGGGTGTGTCCTGCTCACAGGACAGCTCCCTGCCCTTACTGTGAGCTAGCTCCAGCCCCTCTTCCCCAGGGAGGCTGTCCTGCCCGCTGTTTCAATGCAGTGGAGGCCGGGGGCTACTCTGCAGACAAGACCCTCGGCCTTGAATTCATTGAGCTGCTCTTACACTTCAGCCTCCCTCAGCACACTGTGCCCCAGGGGAAGACACCTTGGTTTGTCCCTCGCCTCCCGCCTCTGACGATGGGAGGGACCCCCACCTTTCTGGGGGAAAGGGCAGTGGGTGGCATTTGATCCATTTATTCGGGGGTTCTTAAAAAGTCAGACTCTAGATGTGAAAGTCTTCTGAAATGGAAAAAAAAAATTGAAGCACAATTTCTATAATGGCAAAAGCCCCTTACAAAGTTTATCTCGGTTATGTAATGAAACGTAAATGTGAAAAGGGAGATACTAAGCTAGCCTCTTAACAGGCTGCTGGATTTGGAGTCTGAGTTTGTTACTATTGGACGTATTTCTTATGTTTTAAATCTAAATCTAGTCGTTGGAACCTTTTCTCTTCAAACACATTATGTGAAAGATGACGTAGACTTTTTAAGTGTTTAACGCTGACCATTTTTTTTTTTATGTGAGTTCACATATAAAACGTCCTTTTGTACTGAAATACCACGCAGAGCTCGGAGACCGAGTCTAGACGGGTGTCATACTGGCTTCACGACACGCACGCCATAAACAGTCCTTGGTAGTATCTTTATTTTTAGATTATTTCACCATAATGAGTCTTGCTCAAGACACAGTTTATAAACTGGAGAAATCAGTTATCAGTGGTAGGAGGAACCCAACACCAAAAACAACTCGTCTGTCCAAACCAGCCTTGCCCTTGGGTGAGGGAGATGCCGCTGCCCTCTGCCCTCCCAGGTCCTCGGCCTGGACGGAGCTCCCGCGCGGGCTCAGTCAAGCTGGCGTGGACTAACCGAAGGGAGAGCAGTGTGATGTGTGCGTACACAGACCATCCGTGATGGCAGAGATGAGCAAAGCGGGCAGCTTCTGATTTTCAACAGCGAGGTGCTGCATTTGGGGAGATTTTACGGGACAAAGACACTTAGGTCCGGCTGCTCACTGGTAGGTGGAAGGGAGGGAGGGCTGGGCGGGGCAGTGGTGCCGGAGTAGCGAGGCCTGCTCACACGGGCACCTCGGCCCTCGCTCCTACCTCTGGTGACAAGGGTCTCTCAGCCCTGCCCCCAAGAGGACAGGCTCACAGGGAGATTGATTTCCTGCCTGTGAGGGGACAAGGGAGGGCCAGCGGCTCCCCCTGGCCCTGACTGCTTATTAAGTAACTTTAATTCAATGTAATCAATATGCCACTCTGGGATAACTGGGGGTGGCCTGCCCTGGGGCCTGAAACTGAAAGCTGTATACAGGTCCCTGTCGTCTCTAAACAGTCGAGCTTCGACAAAGAATCCATGAAATAGAGAGCGAAGTGGATTCGCTGCGTTAGAATGTCTCACGAATGCCGCAGGGCTTCGAAGGACAGCATGGGGGAGGAGAGTGCTCGTTCTGAAGGCGGTCTGGCGGGGAGTCTTAGTCCTGACCTGGAAGGAAGGATGGACACTCATGGGCAGAAGGGAAGGGACGGGAGAGGGGTGCTACCTAAGGGCAGAGAAGAAAACCACACGCAGAGCCCATCACGCGTGGCCAGGATGCACTGAGTGTGCTGGTGTCCTCAGCTGCCAGTCTGCATCCGGAGCGAGCTTTCCGATGTGCAGATCTGATCGCGTCACCCTCTGATACACTTTCAGTGATGTGTCTGTGTTCTCAGAAAAAAAGACTGAAACACTTGCTGTGGACACTCGAAGATTTCTTTCTTCTCATCCGCTGCTTTCTGTCACCACACTCCCAGCCTTGCTTGGTCTTCGTCTCAGTTGACTTTTTTCCATTCTTTGAACAAGTCATCTTCATCACCTCCCCAGGACCTTTGCACATGCTATCTCACTGTGTGGAATGTCCTTCCCTACTGGGCACCCCCACGTCACCCTGCCTCTTCAGCCTTCAGATCCCAGATCAAACGTGATTCCTTAGAAACCTGCTTTGATCCCTCAAGCCTCATGGGAATGTCTTACCTCCTTTCCAGCCGGCATGTTCTTTGCCGATCTGTTTCTGCATTTACAGGTCCGTCGTCGGTGCGCGTGCCTTCTCTCCTAAGCCAGGTTCCCTGGGACCAGTGCCTGTGTGTTTTTGTGCGTCCTCTGGGCGCTGGCAAGGTTGACACGTCCATGGTGGAGACCCAGTGCCCGTGGGGGAAGGGCTGGATGGCGAAACGGGTGGCTTTCACTAGAGGGCTCTTCCCCACCCTCTCCAACACAACAAGGTGAAGACAGAGAGCGAGCAGGAGGAGGAGGAGAGAAGGAGGCGGGAGCTCGTTCCCTGCACAGTGAGGAAGGACAGTCGGGTTCTCCACAGAGCAGATGCCTTGGGCTCCTTGTGTGGCAACCGGGCATTCAGTCTCTTCAAACAGCACCCCAGAGACAGCTACTCAGTAGGCCAGATCCAGTTTTTAAAAATATAATCCAGTCTTCAATAAGGATCAAATATTAAGGCATCTCTATTTTAGTCCGAGGTTACAGTAAATGGCATACCGGTTTAAAGAAAGGTTTTATCGCGATGGACATCCTCTCCATTCCTTCAAGTGCCCCTGTCATAGTTTTGTTACTCACGGCTAGACTTCTGCCCAGGGTGTCACCCCTCCAGGTTCTCTCCGGCAGATGTCTCCCCTGGCTCTCCCAGTGCTGAGAGGCGGGCACAGGGGTCTGCATGCCTCTGCCACGGGCTGGAGCTCAGCTGGGAACCCTCTCGGTACCCACAGACGGCGGGCAGAGGATCACACTCACCTTCCGACCCGAATCCCTTCCGCCTTGATCCTCGCCGGCAATTCTTTTCCTATCCGTGCATCAGGAGGGTGACTGCACTTCACCGTCCCAGCCAGGACATGTCCGAGTGAGGAGAGGTGCTGTTGTCATCCGGCCGTGCCGCCAGGCCTAAACCAGAATGTCCCTGAAGGCATGGCCCTCGCTGTCTGTGGATCCTAGTGAAG